CCCCAGTAGATAGTTGTACGTCATAGCTGCACATCCTTCTAGTTGCTGTATGTGGGACGCGGCCTCAGCATGGCCGGAGAAGCGGTGCGTCAGTGCGCGCCCGGGATCCGAACCCGGGCTGCCAGTAGCAGAGCGCACGCACTTAACCGCTAAGCCACAGGGCCGGCCCGAAAATAAGGTTTAAATTACTTTCTGCAAATGAAGCTCAGACATAAAATAAAACTGGAACTTGTAATGAAGACTCAAAACACACATTTATCCAAGATTATGAAGAAACTATTTGACAATAGAGACAGGTATTTATACACAGTGCCTAGGAATAAGACAGTAGTATTGAAAAATCAAGGAAGTGCCTTTCATTCCTCACGGAAATGAGGAAAGTATATGAGGTAACAGAAAATAAAACTTGGCGTAAGTGAGTTAACTGGGGTGTAAGTCCTGAAAATAAAATAAAATGTAACCATGTATCTCCTCATGGTTGAGCATTCCTTACTGGCTAGAAGAACCAGGGTTTCGGCATCAATTTTATTCCTATCTTCTTTTTCATAGATGTAAACACTAAGAAACCTTGGTCACAAAAATAATAGCTAACTTACATAGTCTTTACTATGTGACAGGAACACACTGTTCTAAGTACTTTGGATCTTGATATATTAAATCCTCACAACCATCCTATGAAATGTGTGTCATTAGTACCTTCTTTTTACCAATGAGGAAACTGACACTCAGGAAGGTCATTTGCTCAAGGTCACTCAGCAGAGCTGCAATCTGGGCCCAGGCAGTTGGCTCCAGAGCCTGTGCTTCTAATCACGAGGCCATATTGCCTCTCTCGGCTGCCATTAACAACGGCAACTGGAAGGAGTTTTCTATAGCAATGACACTCAACTCTCTGAACTCCTTCCTAATTATGTGTCAGAAGTCACACGATGATCTATCATTAAAAATTATATTTAATGATCTATCAGTGACAACTTGATTATGTCCTCCTTCAATTCTGTTAAAAGCAAAGAAATGGAAATCCTTATCATGCAAAAAGAATTCAATGCATACTAGAATTCAATTAAATACCAATTTTTTTGTACCTTTGTTTGGAACTCTGGAAATTTTTACACATAAGGACAAGGTACCATAGTAAGAGTCTAGCTGGGCCATTCTTTTATAAAGGGGAAAAACAGTAACTGTAAAAAATGAGGTGAGAAGGGAGAACCTGTCCACATGAGGGGCTCTCAAGCAGCTCAACTGTAGGAAAGAGAACCTATGGGATTTGCAATCTTAGAAAGAGTCTTTAAAACTATCCATATCTACACAGTCCTTGGAAAGGTTTGATATATGCTTAGGGATATAAACACCCCGGTTTGATTTGCAGACTGCTGCCCTATATCACAGACTTTTTTTTTAAGGACATTAATTATCTCTGCTGGCTACATGCCCAATGTCAGGTACCTTTAAATGGAGCAAAATAGCAACAAGAGCATTACCTGGGAAAGTGATTAACCTTTTGTGCTTCAGAGAGGGTACGAAGTAAGAAGGGCTTCAGGTGGGATCCTGTCCACATTAGGTTATAGTCAGTGCTGCTTGGGTGAACCTGATGGCATATAAAAAGACAAGACAAAAAACATGAGAGACAGCGTCTCTTCAAGAAGAGTGATGGCCATAGAGATTTTTCATCCACAGAGTACTCACAGAGGTGGCCCAGTTAGTATGTGAGCCTAGTAAGACAAAAGAGGGGTATACAGAACATGAGGATAATCAAGTTTAAAGAATGGGAGAGTTGGGCAAATGCCAGATGCAAAAAGTAGAATAAATTAACCCTCCTACAGAAGTCCATGATGTCTCTTAATATTCTTGCATATCAAAGTATGAGAAGAGGGCGCAACCCCAAAACTCCCTTCTCAGATTGCCCTTATGTCCTTGCAGATGCTGGGTATAAAGTACTGATCAGAACTAAAGCCTTATAGCAGCAAACCAACTCAGAATCATTCATTCATTCATAAGAATTCATTTGTCCATTCATTCAATAATTATGTACTCTATGCCTATTACATGATAGGTACCCTTTTGAGCCCTGGAGATAAAACAGCAATAAGACAGGATATACACTGGTATCAGAACTTCCTCAAAACATCTACTTCTGATCTCAACCTAAGATAAGGAGCTAGCAACTAGACTTTTATCAATTGTCTCAAAACATCTACAGTGGAAGACTGTCCAGCATTTTTGACTGTCCCTTTTGATGTCAACATGCCAATTTTCCCAATTTTGAGGGGGAATAACATATTCCTTGGTTTTAAAGGACCTACCAATCACCCACGTCTCTCTTCCCCCAAGAAGTGAATCCATGATCCAAGCTGGGCCAGTCACTCTATCTCCAGAATGTTATTCTTTTTTTTTTTTTTTCTGTGAGGAAGATCAGCCCTGTGCTAACATCTGCCAATCCTCCTCTTTTTTTGCTGAGAAGACTGGCCCTGGGCTAACACCCATGCCCATCTTCCTCCACTTTATATGGGACGCCACCACAGCATGGCCTGCCAAGCAGTGCATCGCTGTGCGCCCGGGATCCGAACGAGCGAACCCCAGGCCGCCGCAGTGGAGCACATGCACTTAACCGCTTGTGCCACCGGGCCGGCCCCCTAGAATGTTATTCGTGAGCAGAGACAGGCACAAGGACAATGAATGGAGTCAAGTCACTTCCACAGCAGTGGAAGTGCCTTGAGGAGATGGCCCTGAAGATTCCTGTTCCCAGATCGCTGGGGCTGTCCCAGTCTCTCTCCTTCCAAAGGCCTCCCTTTTCAGCTATTCCTCTGATTCCACTAGCCATCTTGCGCACACCTTTCCTATAAATTCCTCTGGTTTAAGTTAGACAGAGTCTATTTCTGTTGCCTGCAATCAAAGAACCTTAATTGGGTATCAGACAACTTCTTATAGGCAACTCTGCCTCTAGCCCAAGCTTAAAAACATAGCAAGAGGGGCCGGCCCTGTGACGTAGTGGTTAAGTATGGCACATTCTGCTTGGGCGTGGGCCTGGGTTCACAGGTTCGGATCCTGGACACAGACCTACACCACGTGTCAAGCCATGCTGTAGGGGCGACCCACATACAAAATAGAGGAAGACTAGCACAAATGTCAGCTCAGGGTGAATGTTCCTCAAGCAAAAAAGAGGAAGATTGGCAACAGATGTTAGCTCAGAGTGACTCTTCCTCACCAAAAAAAAAAAACATAGCAAGAAAAATAAAGTGAGTTTTTGCCAAAAAAATAATCGTGTGAAAATGTTTTCCAGGTATTTCAAGAAGAAACTGGTAAAGCCACTCAGAAATTCAATCCAAGTTCTGCATCATCACTAAGCACTGGTCCCATGTACTTTCTTGAGCTGGCCCTGTTAATTGGTAGCCAGGTGGCTAGGTTTTTCAGCTTCTGAGCACATCAGGTAAGGCAGTAAAAATGAGCTTACTTCATGAAATCCATGGGCTGTCAGAATGCTGCGCACCAGGCGACTGTCTGTTCGTACAATCTTGTAAGACAAATGATAACGTTCTAAAGAAAAACATAAATCAAGTTCAGTAAGCAGAAAGTTAACTGTAGAGACAGATATAAACCGTAAGAGGGTGGCTTGCTTAATTATACTCAATAACACTACACTGCTTCTCTTATGCAGTGTAGTAATAATAATGATAATAATAAAAATAATCCTAACCTTAAGTAGGTTGTGGATTATTTTGGACCAACGTTTCTTGACCTGAGATTCGTTGGGGGTTACTAAATATGGATGGGGGAAAAATGACATCTCTGTTTTCACTAATTTCTAGTTGAAATTTAACATGACCTTCAACTAGGAGTGTAGGCAACAAAGCAGAGTAGTATTAGCAGTACCCGTGACCTGCCACCAATAGATATCAGGCATTTTAATATTATTTTACAATGGTTACAGTTAGCTCAAAATATCACTATTCTCACAGTATTTAAAAATGATAGGAGTTAACAGACCTAACCACCAGATCATGTTATTTAATGCACTCATAAAAAAGCATATCTACCACAAATTTGGTTTTTAAAAAATATTTTGGTAGCTGTATTGCAATATAATTGATTTTCTTTGTAGTTATATGTATTTTTTTAATACACTTAAAAAACATTATTCTGAGAAGAGACCCATAGGCTTCTCCACCCTGCCCACAGGGTCTACTGCACCAGAAAGGTTAAGAACCCCTCCAGATAGCCCTGTGTGCGCAACAATGCTGGTTACCAGCATATCTTAGACCAGAGGTTATAAACTGACGACCCGAGGGCCAAAACCAATCTGCAGGAATGGTTTTTCATTGTGCTTTAAAATAAAATTGAATTAATTGTTAACCTTTAGAAATTGGAGGAATTCATATAAAAATCTAGTTTTCTGGGCTACTCTTGAGAACCCTGGCAACCCTGGGCTCTCTCTCTCTGGCATGGCAAGAGTCAACTGGAGAAGTGCAAGTGCTCCCTTTAGGACAGGCCTGCACTGTCCAGTTCAGCACAGTCCCCACCCAGCCTGCTTCACTCATTCATATTTCCTGCCAGGCCCCTGTAAGCATTCTGTGCTTGTGACCCTTGTCTAAAAGGAAAAGCTAAATCATGTGAAATGTCTATATATCCCCAAAGACTAACATTTAATCTGGCCCATTAAATTCAATTTCTTTCTATGCATCACTACAAATTATTGAAAAGTTAGCTAAGAATTCTACAGAACAATTTTTTTAAAGGACTGTGTATTGAACAATTTCCGAATGAGTATAACACAGAAACTTACGGACAGACCCTAGGACAAAATTCAGCCTCTACAAAGATAAGCATTGATTTTTATGCATTTATGTGAAAATATTCACAAATCCCTGCTACTACTTGCCCAGCCCTGGCAGGAACACCTTGCGAAGCAGACACAGGAGGACTGGAATGGAAAGGCCAGACACGCCATAGTTCTCATTCTTGTGGCAAACTTTTAAAGCCCAGTTACAGGGTTTTCCCAATGATCAATCACTATTATGTTGTCTTCGCAATATCGTTATAAGAAAAACGGCACAGAGTCATACGTGTTCACTTCGGTGTAGAGTACAACATAAGAAGCAATATGGTGCACTGCTTAAGAGTTTGTGTTCTGATTCCAAGTTGGGAAGGAAACCACAAGATAGGCCTGGAATATCTCACTATGCCAAAAAAAGAGAAAGTGCTCAAAAACTGATTGGGAACATGTCACAAGGATCTTGAAGGGGCTCCCAATGGCCAAATTTGAGACAATTTTGAATATAAAAATGAATAATGACAGAGATAGATTTATAACTCACTCATAAAAAAAGAAAAGAATCCATGAATCCACACTGATAAGAAGGTGAGAAGGTATACTGGTTTTCTATTGCTGCTAACACAAATTACCACACACTTAGCGGCTTAAACAACACAAATGTATTGTCTTATAGTTCTGCAGGTCAGAAGTCTGAGATGAGTCTCATCGAGGCATCAACAAGCCTGTGCTCCTTTCTATATAGGCTCTGGGTAGGGTCCATTTCCTTTCCTTTTCCATCTTCTAGAGGCCGCCCCCATTTCTTGGTTTGTAGTCTCCTTCCCCTATCTTCAAAGCCAGCAATGATGGTTCTAGTCCTTCTCACATCGCATCAGTCTGACTCCTCTTCTGCCTCCTCCTTCTACTTTAAAGGACTCTTATGCTTATACTGGGCCCACTTGGAGAATCTCTTTATCTTAAGGTCAGCTAATCAGCAACCTTAATTCCATCTACAATAGAATTCCTCAATTCCCCTTTGCTAGGTCAGGTAATATTTTCACAGGTTCTGGGGATTAGGAGGTGGACATCTTTGGGGGACCATTATCCTGCCTACCATAGAAGGGAAAGCTCTTCTTTACAGAAAAGCCAGCCAATAAATGTAAAAGGAAAGACAGAAATAGAAAATCACCATTTTATAAAAACCATAAGAGTAAGCAACTCAAGACAAGAATCAATGGATACCAATGGGTTAGAGACTATTGGGGAAGAGGATACTCATACATCTTAAAATATCACTCCAGAGAATGCTTATAAGAAAGAAGAAAGTTACCTCTACAATGAAGCTATGTAGTGAACACTATCTTCATCAAATGATCAAAGTTGCCAACACCAACAATGCAATATAATGACACCACATGCTTCCTAATGTGATACACTGAGAAAGACACAACTTCACTAAGTGATATTCCTGCAAATTTTTTTAACCTGAATCTGAACATGTGGAAACAATCTGACAAGCCCAAACTTGAGGACATCTGCAGAGGAGCTAGCCTGGAATCTTTGAAAATGTCAATGTCATGAAAGACAAAAAAATTCTAGTAAATGGTTTTAGATTAAAGGAGACTAAAACTAAATGCACTCTTTGATTGGATCCCGGATTTGGGGAAAAAAAAAAAAAACCAGCTATAAAGTGGGGACAATTGGAAAAATCTGCATAGGAATTGTATATTAGATAAGAGTGTCTTACCAATGACAGACTTCCTGAGGGCCATCACTGTACTGTGGTTAGACAGGATGTCCTTGTTCTTAGGAGACACATACTGAATAAAGTATTTAGGTGTGAAGTATTTGAACTAATTCTCAAATGTTTCAGAGAGAGAGACAGAGAAGCAAATAGGGCAAAATATTAATAATTGGTGAATCTAGGGAAAGAGTATACATGCATTCATTGTAGTATTCTTACAACTTGTTGGAGGTTTTTAATTTTTCTAAGTAAAATGTTTAGAAAATGAAAGAAAAAAATCGAGTCTTTTTCTTATGATAACAGTCATCACTGACACCTCTATTTTTGCACAGGCAAAAGCCAAAGCATCCTTAACTGCTGGAGACCAGGACTACGTCCGGCTCTGTGCCTGTTCTGCAGTGCTGGCTCCGCAATGCCAGCCACGGGAAAGGTGATCAGTAACGTGTGTGGAAAAACAGAGAACGATTATGTGGGGACTGGGGCAGACGGGGGAGTAATAAGAGGACGAGTATGTCTCTGGAGCCAAACTGCCAGGGTTCAAATCCTGCCTTTACTACTTCCTGCCTGTCATCTTGAATATGTTATTTAATTTCTGTAGGCTCAATTTCCTCACCTGTAAAACAGGGGTGATAACAAAGGTACATATCTCATGGGTAGTTGTGAGCATTAAGTCAGTTAATACTGTAAAACTTTTAGACACTTGTTGATACATAGTAAAATTTTTCATACAGTAAAAAAGTAAATACTTAGTAAAATAGCTATTAATACATAGTATCATACATAGTAAATTATACATTTTATATAGCAAATTAAAAAATAAAAATGCTATTAATACTCTTTCTACTTCTCCTAATATAGAAGAAAAATGCAGTCATCACTGCATTCAGTGGCAGATCTGATTCTCACAGTATGTAAGTAGTAAGCAGTAACCAATTACTTGTAATCCACACCAACTAACTATAACCCAACTCAGATACACTGAACATGTTCCAAAAGGGGAGCGCAAGAGAGGCGGGTGGAATGATATAAAGCAATGGTGACTGCTGGGGATTATAACTCACACGCACGTTCTGAGTCCAAGAATGCTGATTACCAGTATATGTAAGAACAGAGGTTATAAACTGGTGATCCAAGGGCCAAATCCAGCCTGCAAACACGGTTGGTTCGTTCCTCGTGGTGTTTTAAACATAAAATTGAACTAGTTGCTAACTTTTTAAAATTGAAAGAATTCATATAAAAATCTAGATTTCTGGGCTTCTCTTGAAAAAACTGGCAACCTAGGTTTTCTCTCCCACAGCAAGAGTCAAATGGAGACTTGCAGCTGTAAACTGAACCTGCCCAACTGCCCAAGAAAGAATCATTTTGTCCATGTTTTCTTCCATATAAAAACAAGAGGCCTTCATCCTCCCTGGCTACTAGCAAACTGCCCAAACCTCTGACAGCTGAGCCTCTGAACCCAAATTGCATCAATTCCACCATGAGATGGTAGAATTTCCTCTTCTCCAATCACTTACATGTCTCTCAGGAGACAACCTGAAGTGCTAGGACCCCTGGCAAGTTCCAGGACTGACCATAGAGAGCAAATAAAAACAAGGAACCAATAATCTAACTGTCAGCACAGAAGCACCTGGGGAATGGTAAGGTGCCCTAAGGGGTTTGGTCTAAAATAGCACGGGAAAGTAAACTGAAAACTAATGTTTTCGACTTTTAGAATACAAGAATAATCCCTTCAATGATAACATAGTGTAGCTTTGCCTTACTGTCAGAAAATTAGGTCTATGCCTGCACTGTTCAATATGGAGTCACTAGCCACATGTAACTAACCAGTGAGCACTTGAAATGTGACTAGTGTGACAAAGGAACTGAATTTTTAATTTTATTTAACTTTAATTTAAATTTAAAAACTGATACTCGATTCAGTTACTGGAAAATCTGTTTGGAACAACTTGAGCATACGAATTTACTTTTTCACCTGTAACATTTGTGAAATCTAAATACAGATCAAATACTTCCGGGTAAATTTTGCACCATACTGAGATGCAC